AAAAAGACTTTGAGCACTCCTCGAGTTTTCTTCGTAAATCAATCCGGATATACGTTTTACTCCTCCACGTCGCGCCAATCTTCTTATGGCGGTTTCGTAATTCCCTGGATGTTATCCCTCAAAACTTTACGATGCCTTTTCGCTCCTCCTTTTCCCAATCCTTTACCACCTTTACCGCGTCCAGTCATTTTTCAAGATTCTCTCGCACGTCGAACTGTTAAAGCGAACGGGCTGTTGCCAACTGACGGTACGTTTTTTTTTTTTTTTTTTTTTTTTTTTTTTTTTTTTTTTTAACGAGGGGGGAATGCATTACGCACCATACCATAGCACGAGCTACGACGTTGTGTGGGGCTCCAGGGTCTTGAAGAGATCACCTAATACCCACTAAACCCTAAACCTCCGCGTGGCCCGACTCATCAGCGTCTCGGTAGGCCATGTGTGTGCGTGACCTGCGGTCTGCTACAACGTCTCCTCATGTGTTTCAGTCTCTGGGAACGCCGGGTTGGTTCCTTACCTCGCACATTCTATCGATGTCGTTAAGCGATCATCTATAGAGGGTCTGCTAGTTCTCTTGAAACTCTTGTTTTCGAAAATCAGAGTTTCAAGTCATCTTACCATATGTTGTTCCTGGTCCTGGTCCTGAAGGGTCCTGGTCCTGGTGGGTCCTGGTCGTGGGGGTCCTGGTTGGTCCTGGTCCCGGTGGTTCCTGGTCCTCTGCATCCACGCCGTGGGGGGGGGGGGGGGGAGCAGCCGCAATTCTCCTAGTCTCCTAGTCAAGGTTCCAGTTAGCGGGTGCCAACTGGGACCTTGGTCTGGGGTACCTGGTTCTGCGGTTGCGAGGCCTCTCGTCCGGATCGTAGTCCATGAGGAATCGTAGCTGCTCGTTCGGGTGGTCCTGAGCTTTCTCGAAGGTCTTCTCCGCTTTTTTCCTCATGTACTCGTGGATGGTATCCCAATGCAGGTCTCTACGCAAGGTTGAGTTCCTTACGTAGGAAGGTGCATTGGTGGCGATCCGGAGTAGCTTCATCTCTAGAGCAGCAAGTCGCTTGCGGTAGCTGGGGGCAGCGTACCCCCAGACCGCGGAGGCGTAAGCGAGCTGAGGTCTGGCGATGGCCTTGATCAGCCGTAGCTTGGTCGCTAGCGGCATCTGGCTGTGTCTACCCAGTAATGGATAGAGTTGAGCCATGGCTGCTTGGTTTTTGCGATGACAGCTTCTATGTGCGCTTTCCAGGTGAGGGACTTGTCAAAAACGATCCCCAGATATTTGACATTGTCGCTCCACTGGATATCTTCATCGAAGATGGATGCTTCGAGAGGTCTTGCAATCCTTCTTCGTTGAATGAAGATTGCCTGCGTCTTCTGGACGTTGATGCGGATTTTCCATTTCACGCACCAGTCCTGAATTTGGTCCAGTTCACCCTGTAGTCTCCTACGGATGATCTCGGGTCGTCTATGCTTGGCGGCTATAGCAGTGTCGTCTGCATATAGGGCCAGCATTGTGTCAGCTGTCTTCGGCACATCGTAAGTATAGATGTTGTAGAGCAGGGGGGCTAAGGCTGACCCCTGGGGCACGCCTGCTTCCAGCTGACGTCTTGTTGAATGGCATGTACCAATCTTCACCGTGAACCATCTTTGTGTTAGATAGCTCTGGATCAGTTGGCACATGTTCGCATCGATTCCGGCGGCTTCCATTTTGGCGATGAGTCCATCGTGCCAAACTCGGTCGAAGGCTCGTTCCACGTCCAGCAGGACGAGACCGGTTGCCTCCTGGAGATTGAAGCCGCTGGTGATGTTTTCCGTCAGTCGTAGCGCTTGGAGTTCCGTGTTGTGGGAGGATCTGAAGCCGAATTGCTCTGGGGGGAGAAGTTGCAGTTCTTCTGCCTGCTTCTCTAGTCGAACGGCGATAGCCTTTTCGACTACTTTGCCCACCGAGGAAACCAGGCTGATGGGCCGGTAGTTCTGGGGCAACTTCCGGTCCTTGCCTGGCTTGGTGAGCATTATAACCTGGGCTTCCCGCCACCGCCGCGGGAAGTGGTTAAGTCTCAGAGTGGCATTGGCGATGTTGGTGAGCGCAGCAATGCCTTTGGTGGGAAGGTTCTTCAGCATCCTATTGTTGATGCCGTCCCTTCCCGGCGCCTTTCTGACCTTCAACCTGCGGATGATCAGACGGATTTCCTCTGGACTGGAGGGGTGATCCGTCTCCTGGCCAGGTGGTCGACTCCTCATGTTTTCGGCTGCGACTTCACGGCCTCCTCGTGGTTGTCGTCTCGTCTGCATGGTATTGAGTCTGCATTCGGATTCTAGCGAATCGGCGAATGCTTCGGCTTTTTCTTCACTGGAGTAGGCCAAGCCGCGTTGGCCGTGAAGAGTGGGATCGTGGTGCGCTGACGACGAAATTTTCGCTGCATAGACCAGGCCGTACCATCCTGGGTCTCTAGTTCTGCACAGGCTGCATTCCATCTGTTGTTTTGGAGTTCCGCGAGTGCGTTCTTCAGAGCTACGATGCTCTGTTTCGCGCAACTCTCGACTCCTCTGTCAACAGCTGGAGATGTTCTCGCTTGAGTCTTCTGTTCTCCCTGATCAGGTGCCTAATATGGTGCGGTGCTGGACCATTATAGGTATCTAGGAACTGCCGTAGTCTCGGAGCGGGTGCTGTCCTCGTGCGCTCGCAGGACAGCATTCTCCAGCTCCTCTACTGCGTTGTCCAGTTCCTCCGCTGATCGGATGGTTGGAATTTGAGTGATGTTTCCTCTGGACGTTGGATTTGTAAAGGTTCCAGTTCGTCCGTTTGGTGCTCAAGCTATCTCGAGTTCTAGACCCTGTACCAAGTGTTAGTAGAATCGGATTGTGGTCCGACGATCCTTCCACCAGGGTCTCTATCTCGAACTCCTCTCTGATGTTGCGGAGGATGGCTATGTCCAGTACCGCAGGTCGCCCAAGGCCGAATGGAATGTAGGTTGGTTGCTCCGGACCGACGATGACCCCCGCCAGGGCATCGACGTGTTCCTGGAGCTGCCTTGCATTCCTGTCTTCGACGTTGTTGTTCCAAGCCGGAGACTTGCAGTTTAGATCTCCGATGACTATGCGTGCTCCTGGGCCTCTCAGGAGGTCAGCGATGTCATCTTCGTCTAGGGCCTCCCCTGGTGGCACATATAGGGAGGTGATTCTGTAGGGACGGTGGTTGTGATGGACCTGGACCGTGATTCCGTCCCCATTTATGTCTGCGGCATCGTCGAGGACATGACTCGTCAAGGTACGTTTGACGAGTAATGCGACTCCTCCACCTCTGCCCCTTCTGTCGTAGCGGTACGTCTCGTACCGCGGGAACGTCAGACTATGGGCAGCATCCAACTTCGTTTCTTGGATGGCCATCACCTCTGGTTGGTACTGGTCTAGTATCTCCTGGATTTCTGGTTTCCGTGCCCTGAAACCGTTGATGTTCCAGGAGATAATGCGTAGAGATTCTACGTTTTGACCTGTAGACATTTCGGGTCTAGTGCTTGTCTTGCATCTTGGCCTCGAGTGCATCCAGGCGGGTTATGATGGCTTGCATCATTGCTAGCAGTCTGTCATCGCCGTGTTGCTTCTGCGCAGTAGTTCCAGTAGCAGTGGCGGCTGCTGGGGCAGAAGTGGACATAGGCTTCTTCACTTTTTGGGCGTAAGAAGTCCTATTTGTGGTGGGGACTGCTTTGGGGGCAGAAGCAGCTTTCTTCGGCGCCTTACTACATCCCTTGTAGTTGGCGGGGTGGCCTTCTCCACAGAGGCAACACTTGGCGTTTCGTTGCCCTGTTGGCGGCGCTGGCAGACTGCAGCTGGTGCTGTTGTGGTCCTCTCCACACTTAACGCACCGTTCAGCGAGACGGCAGTTCCGCTGTGTGTGCCCGTACCGCTGGCAGCGGTAGCACTGGCTGGGCTCGGAAGACTTTTTCTTCCTCTCGAAGCTGACCGTGAGCATGGCCAGCCTCTGGATCTCTGCAAGCTTTTCCGGCATCTTCGTCTTGACGAGGAAGAGCGGAAGTGGCTTCTTTGTGGTCCTTGAGGTCAGCTGCTGAACCACGGCGTCTGCGATGCCTTGGCTCACCAGATCCTCTTTGATGTCATTGACTGACATCTCTCTCGGAAGCCCACGAATGACCCTCTGGTCCATCCTGTCCTCCTTCAGTTGATATGTGAAGAAGGGCCGCTTGATGGATTCAAGCAGTGCGACTAGCTGACGGTAGTCAGCTGGTGAATTTGTGAATACCTTCACACTGGTACCCGCCGTCCTCGCTTTGGAGAATTGAATCCCCTTGCTGTTCATCATCCTACTCAAGGATGACCAATCAGCGGTGCCCTCGATGTTGATTGGCGGAACTCCTGTTCCTGCCATGGGGGCCTCGGTGGTCCTGGTTGCTTTAGGACCACATCTTCTTGGTGGCAGCTGGCATCTTTCGCTGCCTGGGTTCTTCCTCTTCTTCGGAGGAGGAAACTCGCACCCGCTTCCTCCGTCTGGTGGCGACACTGAAATCGGTGTCGTCCGTCCTCTTCTCCGCTTCTTCTACGTCGATATCTTGGGCATCCATGTCCAAGTTCTCCGTAGGCTGCTGGTCCTCCTCTCCCTGGTCCTCTCCTTCTACATCTTCCCCCGTCTTCTTAGCTTTCCTCTTTGCTTTGAGGAGCTTCCTTTTCACCTCCTCGATCTCATCCCTCGCCTGCTCGAATGCGGCTTGCAGATTTTTCATCTGCTCAGCGAGCATTTCGAAGTTCTCCTCTTTCTCCTTAAGCTGGCTCGCCAGCTTTTCAATTCTCGCCATCGTGGATGGCGATCGTACCGCGATGAAAATCACAGTAGGATCGCACTGTATGTCCGGGTGGGTCGCAGTCGCACGAGTGTATGCTCGTGACGGCTGCTAGCTCGGAACTGATGTGACGGTACGTCTCTCGTGACGCCCGGTTTTGTTAGCGTTGTCGTCCCTCCTATTGGTCTATCAATTGGCCAATCAGACTGTTTCGTATTTCGAGCCCATATAAATATAACTGTTCGCGGTGTTTACCTCCGCTCACTATAATATTGTCCGTTGCAATATTCACGTCGCTGCTATATAGATAATTTATATTCAGTTATCTGAAATTTAACGTAATGGCGCGTACCAAGCAGACGGCTCGTAAATCCACCGGAGGTAAAGCTCCCAGGAAGCAATTAGCCACGAAGGCTGCCCGTAAAAGTGCTCCTGCTACTGGCGGAGTTAAGAAACCTCACCGTTATCGTCCGGGAACTGTGGCTCTCAGAGAAATTCGTCGTTATCAGAAAAGTACCGAATTGTTGATCAGAAAATTGCCTTTCCAACGGCTGGTCCGTGAAATAGCGCAAGATTTCAAGACCGATTTGCGATTCCAAAGTTCTGCTGTAATGGCACTCCAAGAAGCTAGCGAAGCGTACCTGGTCGGACTATTCGAGGATACGAACTTGTGCGCGATCCACGCTAAGCGAGTAACGATCATGCCGAAAGATATACAGCTGGCAAGACGTATTAGGGGCGAACGTGCCTAATGGAATTGACGGATTTACTATTTGCCGGAAGAGAGAGAGAGAGAGAGAGAGAGTACGGCGTGCGATAATAGGTTATAAAAAAAAAAAACGGTTCTTTTCAGAACCATCATATAGTATGTTCAGAAAAAGGGGATCGTGTATTATGTTAAGTATATCAGATTGTTGTTTGTACGCGTGCAATTTCGACACTATTATCGTGTATGCAAAATAGCGCTAAATGGTTATACGATAGTCGCTAGTTATTACCCGTTATCCTATATCGAAGGATTGTGGTGCTTTGTAGTAAACCGTTACATTGATATTATTCTAATAACGTACGAATTGTATGTATGTGTATGGAAGTAAAATAACTTATAAGTAGCATGTGATTATAATGTAGATAATTCGACATAATATAGATATTTTGCCGTATATATTGCTTAGGCGTTTAGGCAGGCTGTTAGCGTGTAATACGTAACATTAGGTACTTTCACGTAGATCAAAAGTCAGTAATGCGTACGTCTAATAATTAATATGTAGTAAGAGATGAATTTATAACTCGATCGCTCGTATATTATATATAATATTTTTCTACTCTGGCTTATTTATTACGAATAATAGATTGATGTCTCATATTATTATCTATTTTGTCATATTACAGGAGTAATGTTAAAATTATCGCGATATATTTCGCGACTGTGCACGTTCGGATGTACGCCAGACATACCTCCGTATAATTGCGATTATCTAAAATACCTTATCCATTAGCCGTATACCGACAGTATAATTGTATTACGAATAGTCGTAGATTGTTAATTTCATGAAATATCTAATTATATAACGTATTCGTATAATATAAATTAGATCAAAAAGCCGGACGATTAGGTCCAAAGCGGATACCTTGCACGTTTCACCTTATAATTTTATCGTGTACGTAGCGTACGTGATCAAGTCGCGAAGTTAAATGTGTATTTCAAATTATGCAGATTTCATATTCGTTCAGGTTTTAGCTGTTGCTCGTATGCAATTATATCAGCGACTCAAAAAACCAACAGATACGACCGCAGGCTTGGCAGAATTGAAGCCGTCGAAATCGGTTTCGCTGCAAAGTCGGAGCGTTCAATGTTCGGTCCGACCGAAATGACTTGGGTCACGACGCTGAATTTACCTCTCACATTCATTCGACATTCGTTCTCTTAGCGAGATCGTCGATCAGTGATTGCAAAAGATCGCGCGTATACAATAATCTGTCTCCTCTTCACGACTCGTAAACATGGCAGATACGGAAAACCAGAATTACGCCGCGTCGGCTACGGCTACCGCGAATTCTGCGTCGCCGACGTCGCAGTCGTCTGCGAAAAAGGAGAAAAAACCGAAGAATCCGAGGGCGAAGCCGTCTCATCCTCCTACTAGCGAAATGGTCATCAACGCAATTAAAGGATTAAAAGAGCGTGGCGGGTCGTCTCTGCAAGCTATCAAGAAATACATAGCCGCTAATTACAAAGTAGACGCTGAGAAAGTTGCGCCTTTCATCAAGAGGTACTTAAAATCGTCCGTCGCGTCTGGAGCTTTAGTACAGACGAAAGGCAAAGGAGCTTCCGGATCGTTCAAGCTAGCTTCGTCATCGGCTGGCGGAGCGTCGAAAACTTCATCATCGTCAGCCGCAAAGGTTGGCGAAAAGAAGAAGAAATCCGCGACCGGCTCAAAGAAGAGCGGAACCGTAGCTAAGAGAGCTAGCGGTGCGAAATCTGCGAAGAAGGCATCTCCGAAGGCTAAGAAACCGGCGGTGGCCGGTGGTGCGGCCGAGAAGAAAGCTTCTCCAGCTAAGACAAAGAAAAGTGGGAAATCGGCGACGTCGGCTAAAGCTTCTTCTGCTGCACCTTCTGCAGCGGCTGCAAAAAAATCTCCTTCGAAGGCGAAGAAATCCAGCAAGGGAGCTCCGACCAAGAAGCCAAAAGCACCAAAACCGAAAACGGCGAAGGCTGCAACATCGCCAAAAAGGAAGGCCGCTTCACCCAAAAAGAAGAAATAAAAAAAAAAATTTAGACGTGTTGCAACGTCGTAGATTACGGCTACGTCGGTTCGAGACGTTATATTTATGCGAGAGGATGCTATACGTCCCCGCGGATTGAAAATGGCCCTTTTCAGGGCCACCACTATTACTATAAAAAGGATACAGAATATTTACGAATTAGCAATTTTGTATCGAAATATACATGTACAACTGCGGCTCGTACGTGCGTTGATGTTTTTTTTTTTTTTTTTTTTTATTAAATTCGAGTATTATTCGTTTACGATTAGGTATTTATAAGCAAGTGGTAATGTTAGGCGTCGTCACCATCGATATTTGCTTTTAAGGGTATAAATAAGTATGTATTGTGTTTAATTAAACGAATGAACGTTAAACAGTCGATTGCGTCGTAAGGATATCCCCTTTTTTTACGCTTTCGTTTACCATTAAATAATCCGGTCGGGTCTTATATCAGACGTTATTGCTTTAGTGGTGTATGTATATCACGAATAATCATCTGGTATTCAAGTACCAATAATATATATGTTGCGCGTACGGTGATATCATTATCTTTACTTGATAACTTTAGTGGTTCTGAAAAGAACCGTTTTTATGTTGTAAGTTGTTGTTGATGTTGTTGTTGTCGTCGTAGTTACATATTACTTCGAACTGGTGTACTTGGTTACGGCTTTGGTACCTTCGCTGACGGCGTGCTTGGCCAATTCTCCTGGTAGCAATAGTCGAACGGCTGTTTGAATTTCTCTGCTAGTTATCGTGGCACGTTTGTTGTAATGTGCCAATCGGGATGCTTCCGCTGCGATACGTTCGAAAATATCGTTGACGAAGCTGTTCATGATGCTCATCGCTTTGCTGGAAATACCGGTATCTGGATGTACCTGCTTCAGCACTTTGTAGATGTAAATTGCGTAGCTTTCCTTCCTCCTGCGTTTCTTTTTCTTATCAGACTTGGAAATATTTTTTTGAGCCTTACCGGCCTTTTTAGCTGCTTTACCGCTAGTTTTGGGTGGCATCGCGTTTCGATTTACACAAAAAGTACGATCTTTACTGACACAATATCGTGATCTATAATGGAAAGGTGTGCGGATAAACGGCGAGCTTTAACAGCCACGACGTTACCGACATAGACTCCGCCCCTTACGGGTGACCGACAAACGAAAACGGTGATTGGTCGGAGTAGTTATATAAATATACTCGTACCTAAAGACATTGCCATTCTATTCTATTAATTCGGTCAACGACAGCAGATTGTAGTCGTCGATTCGCAAGTCAAAAAAGAAAATAATAAACAAATAAACATGTCCGGACGAGGAAAAGGCGGAAAAGTGAAAGGAAAGGCAAAATCCAGGTCTAGTAGGGCCGGTTTGCAATTCCCTGTAGGTCGTATACACAGATTATTGCGTAAAGGAAACTATGCCGAACGCGTCGGTGCCGGAGCTCCTGTGTACCTTGCCGCCGTTATGGAGTACTTGGCAGCCGAAGTGTTAGAGTTGGCCGGCAACGCTGCTCGCGACAATAAAAAAACCAGGATCATTCCACGTCATCTGCAGTTAGCAATCAGGAATGATGAAGAATTAAACAAGTTACTTTCCGGCGTAACTATCGCCCAAGGCGGAGTTCTTCCGAATATTCAGGCTGTCCTATTGCCGAAAAAGACAGAGAAGAAAGCCTAAATAATAATAATAATAAGAAAATAACGTCAAAACTAGAAATCGGCCCTTCTCAGGGCCACACAATTCGTTTGTTGAAGAAAAAATAGAGATCATCGGATCAGGAAACAAAAAAAAAATCACGTAATATTTTGCCGATATTCCTTCATGCTGTTTGGGAT